GACTGCCTACCCAAGGAGTCCAGGACACAAAAGAGCTTAAGAACCTCTGATCTAGAGGTAAATAGTCAATAAGGTGAGTGACCATGCTGAGTGATACTGATTTTGAACTCAAATGAGGCCTGAATGTGAACCATTAATACTTATTTTCTTGTGTAATTCAAACTTATCCTGCATGGAAAAACACATAGTAGGTATGAGTAGGCTACAACACATTACAGATGAGGATTTGCACAGGCATGGTATAAAGGATGTCATCAGACATATGTATGACTAGAAAAAGTTAGTGGGCCTGTCATGGAGAAAGATTGAGTGAGGAATAAGTAGCAGATAACCCACATTCTCTAAGGATCTCCATGAAATATTGGAAGATCTCAAGGAAGATCCACCAGTTTACTTCCCTCCTAAGCATGTTGGGTAGCACCTCAATCCCTTGTGAATTTAAGGAAGGACAGGAAAACACAAATTGTACAAGCACAGATGAGTGGTGGTCTGCATCACTGAAGAATGTCCATATTGATGAGATCACAGATCTCTCCAAGTGTGGTAGTTGTGTTCTGATGTACTGACCTTAGAAGAAATGTCACCTATTTTTACGTGGGAGGTGGGAAATATAGTATCATGAAATTAATATTTGTTCAGTTAGCAGACATATATGCCTTTCAGAAATTTACCCAAGAACACCCATTTAGTGAAACATCTTATAGGATGGGTATTGGTTGAACTGGATTGATCAGCATAGTTCTACTTCTGTTCTTGCAAAACTTTCTTTTTTTTAAATTTTTTTTTTAAATTTTTTTTCCATATGCTTTTGAGTTGAAAATTTTTCTCCCTTTTTCTCCCCCCCACCCTCCCCAAGACGGCGCACAATCTGACATAGGCTTTACATTTACATACCCATTAAACATATTTTCACATTAGTGAAGTTGTAAGTAAAAATTAAAACCAATAGGAGGAACCATCAGAAAGATGAAACAAAACTCAACAGAAGGTAAAAATAAGTGAGAGCGATTCGACTTCCATAGTTCTTTCTTTGGATGTGGACAGCATTTTCCATCCCGAGGCCTCTGGAGATGTCTTAGATCCTCGTAATGCTGAGAAGGGTTCAGTTTAACATTCTTAGTCATTGTATAACGTGGCTGCTATTGTGTACAAAGTCCTCTTGGTTCTGCTCACTTCACTCAGCATCAGACCATGTAAGTCTTCCCAGGTTTTTTTGAAGTCAGCCTGTTCATCATTTCTTATAGCACAGTAGTATTCCATTACATTCATATACCACAACTTCTTGCAAAACTTTCAACAGACTTAGTTAGAAGTCTTTAATATGGACATACCATGATTCAGTAAAAGTACTCCTATGGAATTTTTTCTTCCAGAATACTTACTTTGTGGAAAGTATTTTTTATTTGTTAAATACTTATGCTTTCTTAGTGTACTTGGCTGGTTAGTGTTGTGGTTCTTTTTTAGAATTTGTAACTTAACTTTTATGTTTCTTCATTAGAAAAAATGTACTTTTAGTATTATAGGACCCTTCTGAAATGGCAATTTTCCATGAAGAAAAAGCCATTGTAATTATTGATTGAACTTGCTATTAGAATTTGAATTAGGAAAGCTGTTAGATAACTCTCAAAACAAAACAAAGCCAAAGAAAACATGTGCTTCTTATCCCCTTGCTGAATGTGGCCCTCAGTCTCAAGTTAATTAGATTTTGGATAACTCTGCTAAACTTTGTGTCACATCCTTATTAAAATTATTTAAGAATTTTTTAAGAGCATCTCAGAGGGATGCTAAAATTAATCTGCAGCTGGTTCAGGAGGCTCCATTAACAAATAACAAAACTGATTAATCTTTGCCTGGTTAGCTTATTGATTATTGCCTCAGTTACTACATGAGAAAGAGAGTGCCACAAACAAATTTGATAATCATTAATAGTAACTTTGATCTAATAAAACATTTTTGCACTGGTGATTTTGTATGAGTAAATGCTGGGAAAAAACCTAGCAGGTAGATAAAATAAGTTGTATTTAAAATATAGTTTTATATATGATGCCTATGACTCACATGAGATTATAGATGCTCAAATAAGATTATAGATATAGATAGCAGATCTAGCTAGCCACTTTACTAATATTATTTTGATTGTTCTGGCTAGTATCTTGGCAGGATGAGCCTACCTTGTTTGAAATCCTTTTCAAGCCTAGTAATTTAGTATTTGGAATTATTGATGGATTTAATCCTGTTTAAAAAGAAATAGGGGCTATTCTTCCTCTCCCTTCCCCCCCCCCTTTAGAATGAAAGGTAGGAGAAAATGAAAATTTTGGAAGGAGGAGGGGAACACCAAGCAAGAAGAGGTTGACTTGATGCCAGAAAGAAGTAAGGGTAACCTTTTCAATTTTTTTTGTAGTTTTCAATATAGAAGAGGCAGCAATTGTGACTGAGCTCCTGGGAACTCTGCTTAGTTTTGTGGCAATTCAGAAATTGGCTCAGCCTTCTTCCTAAAGGTCATCCTAGCCTAGGGTTTGAAATGGAATTAAGGATGTATTGCTACAGCACTAAGAATTTAGTTTAGGGAGAACCTAGTTTATGACAGACCTTAATAATTTAGTTTAATTTATTCAGGTGCGTAAAACTTAGCTTTCCTTTGGTCTTAATTGGGAATACCCAGTAATACACAGACGTTGAAAACAAGATTTTAAGTGGGAGAAAATCTACTTCACATTTGAAAGGGCTCAGTTAAAAAAAATTTGCCTTTAGAAAAATTAATAAATTACCCATTTAACTTCATTAATGTTAACTGTGAGTATAGGTGCCTGTATAAAAAGAGATTTAAATTTCAAGAAATTTTCCAATGACGCCAGTGGCCTATATTTTATTAATCATATACCAAAGATCTAAAGTGAAAAGACAGAATTTTTATTTATTTGTGAGGCAAATAAAATAAGAAAACAGGCCAATTTCATGCATGCAAGGTTTTATAGTAGGAAAAAAATGCATTGCACCTGTTCTCACCCTTTACATTTGAGGGTATTTATTTTCAAACTTGACCCCAAGCACCATTTTCAGACACCTCTATAATTAATTTGTTATGTTAAGGCATAAGAAGATTTTGTTTGCTTTGGTTTCTAGGAATGTGTTGAATTGGTAACTGAAATTATTTACCTATTGTACATAGCAGTTAATTAAAGAAAAGCATTAAGTATGGGAGAGCAGCACTGCTGCTGTTGTCTTGTATCAGTATAAAAAGGCAGTAATTTTTTTGACAGCCACTGATTGGAAAGTTGCTTGCAGCCTTCCAGAAGCAAGGGGTACATGCTGTGGATCAATAACTGGCAAATTTTCCATTAAAAAGAATACCTGAGCAATGTTCCAAATAGCCACTGGCATCTTAATTTTCCATGGAAACCTCAAACACTCAAGTGCCGAGGACAAGTCATTTTCGGACAATTTTTCCAGACTACTTGTTAACAGTTATTGCTGTCCCAGAAGGTTGACAGCCTACATGATTGATATTTCATTTACTTGTCATCACTGTTTGAGTAATGGTGAATGCTGTATTTCTGTGGTTTTAAGGAGCATAGTCTCCTGAAAAACGTTTGCCTTAGTGTATATTCCAGAGAGGATGTAGTGCACATTTATACCGTATGTATATAAGTCTTTAATGTCCTGGAATGGGAGAACCGATTTCCTTTACAGTTTGAAGGTCTCTGGAGAGCAGGGCTCATTTTTGTAGCCCCCTAGCTATCAAAAATCTACCTTCACTTTATTTTTTATAAAGGTGAAGAGACTTTTAATGTATTACTTGTGATTTCCCAAGATAATGCAGAATTTTATGATCCTCTGTGTTTCTCTACAAAATTCACTTGATTCAATAATTCCACAGTACATAATAATTATTATTTAAGAATTACACTGTGCAGAAGAGTGCAGCAAAATTATATGTAGTGAGAACCTTTTTGGGAAGTCAGCAAAGGCTCACAAAGGAGATATTCCCCAAATGTTGCAACTAAATGGTAGTCATTTGTCTTTTAACGCCAAAGTATTAGAGTTTGGTTCAAGGAGAGTGCCCTTAGAAGGCACCCTCTCAAATGACTTCATCAGCAGTTTTTGTCTTTATTTTTCTGTCAAGAACATTTTGGGTCATCTGTTAGCAGGAGTGAAGGAACAAAAGCCATCTCTAAGTCTCCAGTCTCCATCTTCAGTTCACTTGGACTTTAATGATTCATGCTAGTACCCATAATTGCTGAGAGAAGAGGAATAAGCTAGTAAAAACTAATATTTATTTAATCACAATTTAATTTAGTTTAGTAAAATGTCATCTCTGTGAAGACTTCTGAAAGTGTTTTCATTTCCTAAGTTTCCTTGTTGTTACAAGTTTAATTGTGCATTGAAAGTCGTCCATAACAAAATGTCAGTAGGGATAAGGCTTCTTTGTTTTGTGCTGGATTGAAGCATGCTTAGAACTTGGCAGTGGTGCTTTTGTATCACTTTAATTCGACGTTCTTTGGAACTCTTCTGGTACTTCTTAGTGTAATAGGCTTTATAAAAGTTTCATTTTGGATTATGTTTTCATTGGATACATATATATGTATATATGTGTGTATATATGTAAGGAATATATGATATATGTCTCATTGGCTGGCATGTGGAACAAAGTCAGATATAAAACATTTACATCTTTATTTACCAGATTGGGGTAGGGGTGATATGGGGAAGAGGCAATAGAGTAACATTTTAAAATACTTTCAGAGATTATATAAAGTTTTAATCAACATTTTTACTTTCAAAAATAAATATCAGTTGTATCTGGGGGATTATATTATACTAAACTTTCAGGCCTAAGCATTCACTACAGGCATTTTGATGTTCAAATAGGAGGAAAGTATTCTCAAGGCTGATATGTATATTAGCAATTTTAAAAAACTACTATGAATTAAACAACCCATGAGTGTCCGTTCCAGTATTCATGCATTACTGAGTAATCTCTTTCTGTAATCTCTTTGCAGTATTATTCCACAGTAATGGAACAGCAAGTAAATGGACAGTTAATAGAACCTCTGCAGATATTTCCAAGAGGTAATGTTTAACAGATTCTAATCAACAATGATTATTTCAGTAAACTGTTTCATCAACAGTTATGTTTTCCAAAGGTTTAAGTGCACATAACATGATGTTTAGCTTTTAATTCGAAAAAACAAAAGAAGTATTCATTATTGTGGGGATTGCAAGCTATATTATAGTCATGGCAGATAAAATATCTAATTTGCTAGAGTAAATTAAACTAACTAGATTGTATTTTGTTTTCAAAGTGCACATTTATATACACTTAGAGAACTCTTTGGGATTTAAACATTTTCCAATCCAAGGGAAATGAATAACTTTAATTCTAGTTATTTGTAAATTGTGACTCATGATGATGGCCAGGGAGTGTTGTTATCGAGTGGAATATTTTCAGTCAAATGGGGGAAATAAAATTAGCTAACAGTTTTTAAGGGAGAAAAATTGGTAGAACACTTAGTGGTTGTTTTGTTATATAGAGGAATGTCTATAAACAATGAGAAGTTCACATGCACAGTCGTTTAATAGTTAACCTTTTAAAAATTATATAGGGGTTTAAGGGTGAACCAGTAGTGCATGGAACCAAGTTGTCTTTTTGCCTTCCATATTAGGCAATGTGGATCTTTTACCAGATGTGAGTATTTGAAATGTGGAAACTTTTCCTCAGAATTTGGATAATGTTGAAAAGGAAGAGTTTGCTTATGAAAATCCATTAATACTTTCCAGTTTATCTATTGCCTGTCTTGGAATCAGTGTTTCCTAATTGATGATACTGATAAATTTCAATTCTTTAAGTACATCTACTAGCATTAAATTGATTAAAATAATGAAAAATTAAACTCATCCTTGTTAATTTGCTTCTGTACAAATAATCACAGAATGAGTTTTCTCATTTCTCAATGTTCTAGACTTTCGTTACTTGTTACTCTGAAGTTTGAACTGGGCAATTAACCAGTAGAAATCTTATTCACAATTAGAAGGTCTTAAAAGAAAGTTTGCTGACTTGGGTCAGTGTTGTTACTCTGTATAGAGGTTTGGGAGCCATAGCAACTTTAGTCTTTTAGACAGGCCAGGTTTTTTTGTTTTTTGTTTTGCCAGCTTGAAATTTTCTATCAGCTCCTTTTCAAGATTATCAATATCCTTGTTATTTTGATGCAACAAACATTATTTGTACAATATTATAAAGAATTTGTTTAACCACTGCTTCTGATACATATTAGCTGTGTGACCCTGGGCAATTCACTTATCCTATCAGTGCCTACTACATTAAAACCACAAATTATTGAACAGTTCCAGATTTACATTGATAGGGAGAGGGAATTTTCTCACCAGGCATTGCTTATACCAATAAAATCATAACTGCAGACAAAAATAAAAGCAAATTTTAAAAACTTCCTCCATTTTGGTGGTCTTATTTTTTGTTTTTATTAAAAACTTTTCAAGTCCAGGTTGATTTCTCTCAGGCTTTGAGTTTTAAGGCATGTTAGTTTATTATGGTAATAATGCCCTAACAACTTTTGGTATCCTTACATATAGTGATAGAAAGTAACTGAAAAGATTATTTGATGTACCCTCTGAGCATTCTCTAACTCTGAAGGATTTTTTATTAGATTATTTAAAAATTACTGATTTGTTAATGGTAATATCAGTATATTATTGACGCTTGATGTTTATTTTGTATTTTAAGGTTTTATACATTATCTTAATTTATTAATCAGTGTTTCTGTCTTTTGAATGATATAAAAGTTAAAGTATAGATAAGGTCAGAAGAGTTTGGAGGATTGAGGAGAATAATTGCTGTAGGTAGGGAGAGGCTGCTCCAAAGTGCTAGAAATTATCAGTGTCAGAGCTAGCGTACATTCATTCACTCTGTTTTGCCCCATATAATCGCAGCATGTCAAAGCTAGAAAGGACCTTAAAGTTCATCTAGTCCGTTTTTCTCATTTTACAAATGGGGAGAGTAAGACTTAGGTTAAGTGACTCTTCCAAAGTGACCCAGCCAGTAAACGTGCAGAGCTGGGTATTGAACTTACTTCTCTGATTCCAAATCTAGGGTCTTCTCCTACATTATGAGCTCTCTGATTCCACTGTGTCATCTTTAAATACTCAGGCTATGGGAGCATGTCTCCCTGTTACTAAAATTCCTTTGGTTTTTGTGTGCATACATTTCTAGCAGTTTGTAATAATTTGTTGTTCTTTAAATATAAGTGAGATAGACGGGTAGGATTTGGAAATTTGCAAAATTGAGGTTCAGACATGTCTTCAAAACCTTTGACCCAAAAGGGAGAAAAAAATGATTCGATTCCAGCACATTCAAATGTACCCTATTTCCCAATATACATAGTTCCTTTACTTGAATAGTGATTTATATTTTATAATGAGGCCCCCTTTACAATTAAAATGTAGCTTTAACTATATAAGCAAGTATAAAAATGCACTAGATTTTCAATAACTTGGGTTTCTTTGATTATAAGAGGGAATGTTTCTAGAGAGCTGTCCTGGAATCAGTGTAAGTCCTGCGTCTGATGTTTCCAGTCTGTATGACCCTGGCCAAGTCATTTAAACTTTCAGTTTCCCTCAGCAGCTTTCTAAGACTAACAGTTGCAGAGCAGGTATTCATCTTCATTACTTGAGGAAATTCCTTGCTGGGAATTCCTTACCTGAGTGAAATTGTAAATCCATTTCAAAAACACAGGATGCTGTGACTTTTGGATTTTAAGGAATTTTTTTTTTTGCATTGTCTTTAAATTCTTGGTCATAGTGGTTTGAGAAGCCATATGAGGAGACATGAAAATCCAGTGATTGGAGATCAAGATTAAAGTCTGTTTATTATTCATGGTGAAGAACTCATTTATTAAAAGTAGCATTTATACAGGAAATATTTCAATGGAAGTACTCTTGAGTGTTCTTTAGCAGCTATTGATGGGCTATCAGGGACCTGGCATTGAGTACATGTGTCTACTCTTTTGTTCAGAAGGTTTCTTTACATGTTAAAAGTATATTTGAAACCCAGATTATAATTTATTCAAGAAAAATACTCATTCTCAAATGGACTTGTGATCACATTGATTTGAATGTTCTCTCTAAGAAAGAAACATTTACAAAAAAATTTTATCAGACTATCAAACTGCTGAGAGAATAACCTGGGACATTCACATGTCCTGGAAATGGGTAAAATGAAGAGAAAACCTGATGTGTTTAGTAATTGTTACTCATGACTTCTGATTAATAAATAGTTCTGTTTCTTACTGTCAGAACAGAAGTAAAATACATGTGCATCTAAGTGAGGAAAAAAATCAGATTCATCCTTCTTAAAACAATCAATCAAAATTGACAGGCCTTTGACATACAATTTGTAGGGCACTATAGTTTCAAATGGAAACAGTCCATAATGTGTAGCCAGGAGCTTTTGTATTTTTAGCATTTGATGGAGAAGCATTTGCTGAGTAGAAAAAGTGCTAACTTGTAAAACAGAATATAAAGAAATTACATTTCTCCCCTGGTACTCCATCTTCAGGCCTAAATATTAGTAGGTGTCAGTATTTATAAGTAACATGATGCAATGTTTGGTATTTTTGTGTTTCAGTATGACCCATCTGCTTATAGTTATACAATCTGGTCCCTAAACTTGAATAGTGCTTCTTGCAATCTGCACTAGTCTTTTTGGTATAAGTTAAAAAAAATGATATTGAAAGAAAGAAAAATTTATTTTTAAGATACTTTAAATGATAGAGGAAATTAAATGTAAGAGTGAAAAGATATTACAGAAATTTGAGTTATGAAAGGAATCTAATCACTTTAGCTCAGTTAACTTGATTTTGGTATGTTTTAAGCAGAAATTGGAATTTATATTAGGTAATGTCAGAAAGCTCTTTGCATTTATAAATGCTCACTCCTGCAAGTTAAAAACCCTGGTTCATAATTCCCACTTTGGGTCTAGGGAGCCACTTTTCAATCATTTCTCTCTGCTAATTTTGGTGTCACCCTCATTTCTTTTTAAACGATTCATTTTGAGCAAATTTGTAAATGGCCCTGATGTGTTCTACAATTTAGTCAATTACTGTTTCAGCCTGCAAGCCTCCTGGGAAACGGAACATACATGGCCTGAAGGTACGAATTTCAATAATTGTTTCGGTAAAGTTAGATGGATTTGTAATGCTGTGTTCCACTTATTGAAATGTCAAATAAAACTGCACTTTCTCAAGCTCTGACAAGCAGTTTTTTTTAAAGGGAGGTGGGGGAAAAATCATCTGTAGTATATGCTTAATATCTACATATGTTTGGACATGAGCTGTTTTTATTGAAATCTTTTTACTCTTTGAATCCTTTTATCTTTGTAAATGTGTTTAATATGATTCTAGGTATTAGTGCAGATAAAATTTGAGATGGAATATAGGATTTAATTAATTGAATAAGTTTGTAACCATATTGTATAAATATCCTCCTTTTGGTGTAGTTATGCCTGAAACCTGTATTCATTTGGTTCCTTTTTTGTTTCTTTTTAAGTTTTGAATTCTGCATCACAGAACAATGCTTCTACCTTTAAAAAGGACAAAAAAAGCTGTTTCTGAGTCTTGATCATTTTCTAACTAATTACTTAGATCCGTAAGGCTCATGTTATCCTATGTTCCTTTCAATGGCAATCTACCCCATATTCCTGATGATTCATGATACTTTATGATGCATATCTAACCTCTGGTTACATCCATTATGTTCCTTTTGTGACCAAATTGTCATGCCTGTGGTAGATCTTAAACAATTGATTGCCACTCTTCTTTTTTTTATTTCCTGTTCTCTCCTTTTTCAGTGCTGTTTAACTAAGCATTTAACATGTAACAAGGATCAGAACATTATGCAATATGCTGGTAATGTAGTTCCTTAACCTACATACTGAATAGACTCCAACCATGGGCATGCCTAGCAACAAGCTAATTAACCTTCATTACAAAATGAGAAATTTATGGCAAATTACAGGTTAATTAGAACCGTGTCCTCAGAACACAAATGACTGATAAAGATTCTTTCTTTGCCTGCAGGTGAATACACGGGCAGGGCCCTCTCATCATAGCAGCCCAGCAGTTTCAGATTCACTTCCAAGCAATAGGTGAGAACAGAATCCCAATTGTGTGTTCAGTTATGGAAAGGAGGGGCTTGTATGAAGACATCTCTTTCCTCTTATCCACCCAAAATCGGCACATGACTGTTAAGAAATTGAATAATTATGTAATATTAGTTATATATTGACTAAGCATAAAGGAGCACATATAGAAAAATAAATGTTAATCATTCATAATTTTGACTCTTCATCTAATATTTAACTGATAAAGTGATTTTCCTAAAAACATGTTATCTCACCCTACTCAAGTAAACTCTGGTGGATCCCTGTAGCTCCAGGATCAAATATGAAGTTCTTGATTTGCCCTTTAAAGCCCTTTGCAACCTGGCCCCTGCCTACCTTTCCAGACTTCTTATACTTTACTTCCTTCTATAATATCTGTTATCTAGTGATAATAGTTTACTTGCTTTACTTTACTTATATGTATATGTGTATTGTATTTGCCTCATTCTTTACATGTTGTGTCTCCTCTATCAAAATGTGTGCTTCTCAAGAGGAGGAAAAGTGTTACTTGCCTTTTGTTGTATTCCTGTGCTTAGTACAGTGCCTGGTACATAATAAGCCTTTAATAAATAACTTCTTTACTGACTGAATGGTATGAATTTAACCCTTCTGGGCAAGCTAATATTACTTTTGACTTATTTTTCCTCCTACAATAATAACACATTTTTTGCACTTTTCTAGAGCAGTTATAGTTCCTTATTATGCAGTGGCTAATGAACAGTTATATAGTTCCTTATTGCTGGTTAATGATAAGGTTTTGTGAGTTGAGTTCTGTATCTTTGTCCATCCCATACTTACCCATTTATGGGAAATTGTAGGGCTCATTAACCATTCTGACAGAGAGAGTGAAAGGGTAGGGATAGGTGGAAAAATCTAAATTTGTCAGTTTTTCTTTTCTTTAGTATTTCTAGACAAATGAGGGAGATGTTGGTTAGGAAGATTTGAGGTTCTCAATATATTTCATAAATCTAACTCACTTGGTTGTTATGATAAGCCAGAGTTGACTATCATTCATAATATCTTAACCAGGCAAACAAGTGTCTAATGTAAGGCAGTACAGTGTAAAAGGAAAGAATACTATATATCAAGTCAGTAGCACTCACATTCTGACTCTGCTACTTACTAGCTAAAAGTCGCTCCCTCTTGTGTGCCTCAGTTGGGTAGTATGGTATAGTGACTAGAGAACTGACCTGGGTTCTGGCCCCACTGCTTAAACATGCTACCTCTAATACCCTAGCCAGGTCACTGTACCCCTCAGTGACTCCGGTACTTCCCTGAGCCCTGAGGACACAGAGAAGATGCTGCTCTGTCTTGGAAGAACTTTCTCACAGGGAGCTCTGGAAGCAGGATTCCCTAAAACTATCTACACACACATATCCAGGAATGGGGATCTAGCTAGGGAAGACAATTCTGCAAAATCTAGCTGTGGCTCAGCGGGAAGCTGACTAGATCTGGAATCAGAGGTGTCCTGGGTGTCCTGTCACTTTCTACCTGTTTGACCTGGAAAAGTATCCTCATCTAGATGATCACTAAGGCTCCTTCTTGCTCTAAATCTTTGCTCTTCTGAGTACATGAGCCTTATAATCATCTTCTCCTTACAAGAAACTTCATTGCCTGCTGTATCTGGAACCTGTTTGCTTTTTGGAGGCATGATAATCCATGCTTGCTTAGAGCATTTTAAGATGTAGACAGTGCTTAATCTTTCTGGTTTGTGAATTGACAGTTCTCTGCATGTAATAAAAAAGTCTTACTGAAAAGTACCACAGTAATGGAGTTAGTTTCCTGATAGATACAGCCTTTGTAGAATTCTAATAGGCATTTGATCCCAGAATAGTCTGTTAAAATATCCTTGTTACATTTTGCATATAGCTCTCTTGCATTGCTTTAGCTTGTTCAAATTGATGAATGCCAAGTAGGTTATAGTAACACATTTTGAGGGTCTTTACAAATAGCTTTTGTTATGTGTACTGTCACAGCTTGGGATTTTAAAGTACATTGAGGGAGTAGAATTATTTTTAAAAGTGTCCTGTTTATCCATATGTGAAAGCAGTGGTACTCTGAGCCTAGTGTTTCTCAATGTGATGCTTAGTGCTGTCAGATCACCTTGTCACTAAACATATGTTGCTTTTTCAGCTTAAAGAAGTCTTCTGCAGAATTGAAAAAAATATTAGCCAATGGCCAGGTAGGTGTCATTACATATTAAGATGTAAACAGTGACTTGTTCAATTTTTCAGCCATTTTGTTTTTATAAACACAGAGTCCAAGAATATCTTCATGTCATAAACGAATTGCGTGGTTTAATTTGATTGGCAGAGCAATTTACAGCTCATTCTTCAAATAGTGCTAATGGATTTTCACTTCCAGTAGATTGAGGCACCATATCTACCCTACTGCCGCCTCCGTTCAAAAAAAAAAGTTAATCATTTCTGAATAACTGTGTTGACCCCTGGGTTGCTCAGATGACCTTTGCATTTCGAAGGTCAGCAGTTACTTTCTTCCTTGGCCTTTAGAAAAGGGAAAGACACCATCTCATTCCTAACTCCTCATTTTACTTTGAAGCTAACATTAGCTTTTTAGGGAAACAGAATTATAGCAGACCTTCTGGCATTTACGATTCCTCTGCTTTAGGTGACCTTGGTCTCCCCAGGAGGCCATCTGAAGTTGAATGACCCCAACTAGAAATTGATGGACAGGTAGAGCTTTAGGCCAGTCATTTCTCCCTATTTTTGATTCAGGTTGATGGAGAGATCTAAAGTAGTATAATGATTTTAAATGTATACTTGTAAATTAAGCCACCTACAGGATACTAGATTCTTCAATAGCAACATAAATAAGTTTTAATGTTTGTTATAGTGGGAGCCCTTTGATAGCCTTGGAGGCAGGCACCTGTCCATTGCGATCAAGCCTGCCTATTAGGCTCTATTGACTGAGACATCTGTGTCACTGCAAATAAAAGACTCTTATTGATTTTCTTAACTGCTGTTCACTTCCCCTCCATGTTTCGAAGGCTGAAATCTTAATTATCTCAGATGCGTATTCAGTGCCTTCCCACACTGACCTCTCCAGGCCTCATTGGCATTTCATGAATTGAGTACTTGTAGTGGAGCATGTCAGGAAGACAAAGCTGCCTCCTCACGCTTGTCCTTTACTATCACCTGTAACGTTGTGGCCTAATAGACATTTGCCCCTTTAGAAGATGACTATGGCAGCAGCAGAGCTGCTGGACACCTTGTTTGTTCAGCACAGAATCCTTTGAATGTAGTTAGAAAGGGTTGGTGAGATTTCTGTTGAGGATGGAAAGAGGGGTGCGGCGAAGATAGAAGTGAATTTGTCAGTGTTCTGGATAGTTATGAAGAATGTATCAATTAGACCTTCCATATTCTAAATGCAAATAAAGAACATTTGTTATATGTATATCGTTTTCATAAACTCATTAATTCTCTAATATATTTCAATTTAATCAACCAGAGGAATTGGCTGTATATAATGCACATGCTTGGCCCTGTCCTGTACACATTTCATTTACAACTGGTTTGAAACAAAATTTGCCTCAAAACAAATGTAAGAATAGGATGCACATTGTCTTCACCATGTTTTTATTCTCATGCTTATTTAATTCACTTATAAGACACACTTATAGCCTTTAAAGAACAAAATGTTTATTTCAAAATTGTCCCAAAGTGGAAACATTGGCATGAATTTGTTTTGCTTGGGTTGTGGCAGTTTAATTGTGATAGATTTCTTTTTAAAAAATGAAATACCATCAGTCTTTATCCACTATGGGGTAAAAAGAGAAGTTTATTGTGAATGTTCAATCATAGATCAGTCATGTTTGTTGCACTATAAATTCTAAGGGGAAATGTTTTGAAGGCATAGAGTATTAAAAATTTTAAGTTCAATTTTTGTTTGTCCCTTAGGGCTATGATATCTACACTAATAAAAAACAAAAGCTCTTAACTCTTTTTTTTAATATAGTCTTTAGCTTTTCAGTTTTTTATTAACTAAAGAAAAGAATATTATAAACTGACCAAATAGCTTCTTCAAGTGTACTTCCTCTAGTGAGTAAGGACATGTTGGAGTGAGTGAATGAGTACTGTTGGATAACCCCAAAGTGAGTGATGTTGCAGAGTCATGTAGCGTTGGGCAGTGAGATAAATTGTAGGTTTCTTCTGGCTTGAGTGCTGGCACTTCTTGGTGTGGGAGGTATGTGTCACACTTGGCGTTACTTTAACACTTGAGCGTAGTTTTTTTTTGTTTGTTTGTTTTTGGTGGTTTATGCTCTCAAGCATTAATAATGATTTGCCTTTCCACTAGTCTCCACTTAGGTTTAATAAGGAATTCATATTAATCATTAAAAGAAGGGGACATGATTCTTCAAGTTAATCAAATATTGACAGGTTAGAAATAGCTTTCTGCCTAGGTTCATTGATATAGGTTATGTGATATAAATATTTATTTCTTTTCTGTCACTCAGAGTAAATGCCACCAATTGATTCAGCATTGATATAGTGTCAGCAGTTCATAAGAAACATTTGACTGGCTTGTGTTTTCCGATTAGTCTCTGCTGTATAAAGTGGGATTTACTAAATCTCTCCAATTGTCTGCTCATAGAGTGTGACTGCTTTCTGAAACTGTTATTGCTTCGATTTGTGAAGCAAAGGTCCAGTGATTGGACTTAGTTTCTGTCAGAGCTTTACATATGAAATAAGGATTAATTGAGCATTTTGGTTTTAATGATTTCTAAGGGATGAGCACTGATTCTTCCAAAGACAGACAAACATAAACAAAGAATGTTTTGTTTGCTGATCCATAATTGAATTCTATTTCATTTTTCCCACTAATTCCATTAATTTTGTATCCAATCAAATTCATCTTTTAAAGTTTAGCATTTAGTCTTTGGTGATGGAATCATTATTTTTATATTATCAGTAAATGTTGGAAGGTTCCATTTTTCTAGTAAAAAAAAAAGGTAAAATGAGTTATTTTTTGCATATTTATTACACATTTTCAGTTATGCTATATCTCTTATGTGCTTTCTGGCATGTATTTATTTCCTTCCAGTCTAATACAGTATCATCTCTTCCATATTGTTCCTTGCTTTACAGCTGTAAATTAAGAATATCTCAGAAAGGTCAGATTGCAGCTTGTAGTTTTACTAAGGAATTCCTTCTTGAATCTTTTCTTCAATGTCTCTTCCATATTGTTCCTTGCTTTACAGCTGTAAATTAAGAATATCTCAGAAAGGTCAGATTGCAGCTTGTAGTTTTACTAAGGAATTCCTTCTTGAATCTTTTCTTCAATGTCTCTTCCCCTCATTACTTAGACTAATAGTTTAAGTTGGTAAGGGCATTGTTATTCCTGGTAAATCGAATATATAATAGTACTGAACATCACAGATGCAGCCTCATCCTATAACTTTGAGTTGTTCTGTGACATTCACCAACTTTATAAAAACTTTGTGCTATTAAATAAGTTAAAGATACATCCACATAAATAATCTGTTATAAGCTAGTTTTGTCACATTGAATGATAATAATTTGAATGGAACTATTCTTATCCAACTTAGAAGCCTAAAGTCATACTGTAATTAGTATTTCTACCTTCTGCTTTCACTGTGAACCCTTCTTTTCAAGCCAACTAGAAAAATCTTTTGTAACATTTTGCCTCATATTTTATTTTCTTACATATATTATTTTCTCTGTTACTCTTTCCATATCTAAATATTACTCCTTCTCTTCATATACATACATAAATATGTTATTCCTACTCTATTGGTCACTTCTTTTTTTCCTTCTCTTTTTTGACTGTCCGGTGAAAATTGTTTCTGCCAACTCTAGGGCTTCTCTATCTGGTTGCTGTCTTACATTTATACTTACCTGTGTGTATCTCTGATCTTACTCCTGTCTCTCTTCCTTTTCTTTCTTTTTTTCCTCTCTCTCCAATCAATATCTGTTATTCTTCATTAACCAGCCATATTGATGTGGAACTGAAATACATTGTTGTTCTTTATTGAGTAATTTTTTTTTCTTAGATGAAAATGTAGATAATTTTAAATATTTCTCAGTCTTTTAAAAACTATTTTTTCTACTTGTGAGGTAGCATTCAATGGATTCCTCTCTGTACCTTTAGTGAAAAAAAAACTTTTTCCACTCTGGCTTCTACTTGAGTTAAACTTTTTAAGAAATTACACGGCATTGGACGATGTGTCTGGGTTCACCTACTATTATGTAGCTTCAGATAAAACATTTAACCTCTCTTGGCCTCATCTATATGATGAGAAAGTTGTATCAGGTAATCTCCAAAGTCTACTCCAACTCCAAAATTCTGTGATTCATTTTTTTTTTAGAAACTAAACTGAGACCTGAATGTCTAGTGCACTTGACTGTAATGTTTTCATCTTTTACTGAATAGGCTTATGATATTTTAACCATAAGGAACATTTCTATGCTTACTTTTGGGAAGAATAATTATGTCCACATCAGTTGAAAATTTAGAGTTAATAATTTCCCTGGGATGTGATTCTTTTTGGTACCATTACCTTAAATGATTTTGTCATGGTTAAGGCATGTGAAAACTTGGCAAATTTTGATCATAAATATGAAATCCTCAGGATGTTTTCCAGTGTCTCTTCCTAAACCTGATTGTGACATTCCTTTATATAGAGAAATTTTTAGTAGATAACCCAAATAGGATAAAGATCATTCAGTTTATAGGCAAGTCAAGTCTGTAATATTTCCAGATAGTATAGAAGTGTATTGACCAATATTTATGCTGATTGCTGGTCAGCTTCCTTTTCTGACCCAACCTGATTTTCTGCCTCATGCCTGTTTCTTAGAGCTTGTTTCATTCTGTTTCTTTTCTGAACCAGATCTTTCAGGTTATCTGTGAAATACTAAATGTCTACTTTGGTTTTTACTCTGTGCGGATGAGATTCATGGTGCTCTCTAACTCCTGGCCATTCCCTCTGTATTGGCTATCTCTTTGAGGATTATAGGATCATAGATTAAAAGCTAGAAAGGTACCTTAGAGGACATCTAATACAGTGTACTTCCCTCTCCATTTGACTGAGCCTCAGAGAGGACTTGGGATTTAAACTCAGATTCTCTGACTTTAGAGCCAGTCTTCCTCTTAGTCTCTTTTTTACTGGATGTTTGCAACTCCAGATTAGTTAGGAATGCTGAGAGTATATCACTTCTTATTTATTCAGGTTGGGTATTAACTGAGAAAGGGCCAGGGCTTGGGACAAGCCAAAGGGTGAAAGAATTCCACTCCTTCCTCCCCTCACTCTCCCATCAGTGTTAAAGCTGTACATCTATTCACTTTTTCCTTGACTTGTCCTGATGATGCACTAGACCAAGGATTCCTGACCTTTTCTTGAGGGGGGATACTTTTGATTTCCTGAGATGTTATGCTATCCATGGTGTGTGTGTTAGAAGTGGGAAGAAATTGGGTTGCTAATCGTGAAGTTGCTAAGTTGGGAATAAAGGGAAGGCTAATGTTGGCTGCTTTTCCCTATTCCCGGAGAATCTCTAAAAACCTTGGGTTGTGGCCCATTTATCCTATTTGAAAACTTTTAATTCAGAATTTGTGGTATTTTAACATGAACTAGGGTGAAATTTACCTTTTCTAAAAGTGTGATTCTATATATGGGTTTGCTAAGCACATGAGTAGCATAAACTACATTGTTGGAGGCATATTTAACCTACTTAAGAAACCTTTTACAAGAATTTTAGGGTTGTTGATTTGCCCATAGATACTGTTAATTATAAATTCTTATCTTTTCATTGAAGAGATCCAGCAGAACCTTTGCTAAGAAGTTAACAATTTACTTCAAATTACTCTACTTTTAAAATATACTGTACTTGAAAGATAAGAATAGAATTTCTTTAAAGTGCTCTACAATTCATATTTGTCTTCTACCCAGTTAATCCTAACAGTAACCCTACCCAGATAACCCAACAGTTAATCCTAATCCTAACAATCCTAACTTCCTTCCCAACACATATGTGACCCAACACATGGGTTGTATAATGCATTTTTTTTTCTATATTCATCAATAATGTGAAGTTGGCAAACCACAGAAATTCCCCCAATAGGAAAAATACTAGCCATTTTCTCAGCTTTGTCTGATTTTTTTCTCCACTGAACTAACTGCAGCAATTAGCTGATTGTAAATAGCATCAATCAGTTTGTACTACAATTAATTTGGGTGTTGAACTGGCCTCTGCACATTAATCTGTCAATATGTTTTTTAGGATTGTTTGTAGAATGGCTTGGGAAGGAAGCTGTTTCTGTAACCTGTACTGTACTTCTAATTATCACAGCTCTCAGAAGCTTCAACCTCTGAAATGTGTAGAAGAAAATATTTCCCTTGATAAATGAAGCTCTGATTTATTCATTTGGTTGAAGTTTAGAACAGAGCAAAATATTTAAAGCATTACTATAGTGGTCTGAAAGCAAACTTTTTTTTTCTAGATGATATTGAATTAAAAACTTCATCCATTTTCTGCCCATGCAAGGTGGTACAATTCCCTGGAAATTGATTTTTTTTTTCAGGGCTTTACATGGCTTTTCCCTGGCTTTAGCTGTATGAGAAACAGGACTTTTATTGAATTTGTGTTAATGAATAGATAAAATTGGCAGTGAATTTTTAAATGACTGGACCAAGTTTGTAGAAAATTACTGACAGCATCAAATAGAATCTGATTGGTCTTAAATACGCGAACAGTAATAGTTTATTAAAACTCTGAATTATTTAGTGAGCACTAAAACGAAGTACTTTCTACTTATGACATAAATCTGGTTAATATTTGTGTTAGAAAAGATTGCTTGGAGTTGAAAAGTCAAATGAATATTTTCATGATGTATTGAATCAACAAAAATGACTTTAACTTGTTGGTGTTACATTTCTATACCATTTTCCCCCTCTATGCACTGTAACATCTGACAACATGTGCATTTTAAAATACATTTCTTGGACGTTTTCCATCAGCATAGTATGACTTCTACTTGGCATTATGCCATCATGGTTCTTGCTGAATACTAATAATGATTCACTATTTGCAAAGTGCAGCTACAGCTTGCATTTGGAAAATCACTGTAGGTTATCCAATTAGTTTGTTGTGTGTTAACTTATTGAGTACCTTGCGTGGGTTGCTTTATAGATCATTTATAAGATACCAGTATTATCTGTGGTATGTATATGTGTTTTCCTTTTCAACTTTGGCTTTGGCTGTGTTCATTGCTGTTTGGCTTTGGTTCTGTGCAGTGCTAGGGATCCTTTCCTATCAGTATCTCTGACCTGACCCTTTTGAGCTATGTTATATCATTCCATTTTGACACCTTTTATCAAACTTTAATGAAATGACCCAGGCAAACAAATTGTCATTAAACTTTCCATCACTTTGTCCCTTGGTATCGTCTTTTATAAATTGGACAGCAAATGTTGTATTGATCTTCTCGTTCTTGCAGCTGAACTTGAAATGACCCAGACTGCTTGTTGTTTATGGCCCAGAGTGGCTTTTCCTTGACATTTCCATCCACAGCATGACACCCCTTTTGTTTTTCTTTCTTTCTTGTGGAGATGAATGAACAAGACATACGGTATCGAGACACCCTCGGTCACGGCAATGGAGGCACAGTCTACAAGTGAGTAGTCCATTTTGTTTAAACTTTCTGGAATCAGTTTAACCAAAAGGTGATTCAGACTGTCTCTAACAAAGATGTTAAAATGACCATCAGCTCTTAGATTTTATTTTTATATTTGACTACTCCAGAATTCTGCAAGGCATCTATTTTTTCAGGAATGGTGGAATGGTGCATTTATATTGCCTTTTTAATATTTCTGAGGCTGAGTCTCTCCTGGGTGAACAGTTAATAGGCCACCTTTAGCAAGTGCGCCTTTAACTGGCCTGAAGTTTAATGCATTTTTCCTTCACTCTTTTTTAATACTATTATTCCTTTTAAACTTGCTAGCACCCTGTGCTAGTCCAGTATTTACATCAATGCCCAATGGAGGCAAAACCTTATAAAAACCATCGCTTTGCCCTATGTCAACACTCTTAAAGTTATTAAAAAGCCTTCTTCCTGTTGTATTTCCTTCTCTCCTCACTCTGCTCCCCTGAGAGATTTTCTACACATTGATAAATATGTTAAGTTATGAAGTTCTTCTAAATTTCGATTGCTATGCTCATACCCTGAAGGAGTGTTCATTTTAATATTTAAAAAATTCTAATAGTAAAGGAGTAGCTTTCTCGACAGGGAAGTCTTTCTTACACAGTAGTGAAAAGTTTAAACTACATAATGTAATATCTGGTACTTAATAGTCTTCAGTGGTGTATGAAAAATATTCCACTAGGAATTAAGAAATCCATACTCTGTAAGAAAGCCCTGAGGGAGTAATAAAGCTTTCCTCCAGAGAGCTGTTTACCATATATACAGTAACCTGGCATCCTATTATGATCTTGTTTATACCTTAGACATTTTAACTTTGATAGTAACATATATTTCCAAAGTTGTAAAATAACCCATTTATTTTCTAATTGGGTTAATAATGTCCTTAGATCCTTAAGTTCTGACTAACAGCATGAATACAGATGAAAATTGCTCTGTAACTACAAAAGGGGCATATCTTCAGATACCAAGAGAGGATGTCTCCACCTTGGTCACATCAAGCCAAGTGTTTCTCTGGAGGATCCAGGTGCTTAGCCTGAGTCCAGTCCTCTGAGCTCTCTTGAGGGTCACAGGTCTGGACTCCAGCTGCTTTTCTGTGTTCAGGATTTGTCAACACCCGTTCTGAAAGCAAAGTATTTCTGTTATGACATTCTAGAGAAGAGGAAAATATTGATCTTTTGTGGAAAACAAAATATTTACAACTAAGTTCCTCTGGACCTTTTTTTAATTAAAAATTTATGTTTTAAAACAGTAGAACAAAAATGCATGCTGTGTTTGAAGAGATTGAAGGCCGTAGTTTGGTTTCTCCATGACTGTCCTCCAGAGGTTCCTCTAGTTTTCCATAAGTGATTTTTCTTCATTTCTTTCTTCTCCTCCTTGTCATTACCTTTGACTTGAATTGTTTCCTTTTGTGCCACTGGTGGTCAAGGACAGAGCTTTGCTAGGAGTCATTTCCTATCATTCACTGTGGTATCACAGCAGCTAGGTGACATGGTAGATAAGAGTTCTAGGCCTGAAGTCAGGCAGACTCATCTTCCTGAGTTCAAATCTGGCCTCAAAAAACAATAAGTGTGGTATCATTGTCCATTTGCCATAAACCTGGGGCATGGTAGAAAACAGTATATGCATTTGAGTCCCCTGTACAAAGCAATAATCAAAGTTTCAATAGTCCTCCTTCCTTGGGCCCTCATTGCTGATAGCCAGAGCCAGAGAGCTTAGGGAGAGGGAATTAAGGATGTGTTGAAGATGTGCTTGAGTACTTACATCTCCTTCCTTTGATTATTCTTTGGAACATAGACCATAATAAGAGTATTTGAAGGTTGGAGAAATAAAATAGCCGAGGCAAGAAAGTTGGTCACTAGTGAAATGGTAGGAAATGTTTCCATCAGATCTTTTGAGTCCTGAATGAATTTAGTGATTCTTTCACCATTTTCAAATATTGTCTAGAATCATTTTTTCTTTATTAAACTTCACACTATGCTTCTCCCAGCTTTAAGTTTTATTTCACCGAAAATGGTAACATATAACTCTCAAAGTATTCTTACATTTTTATCAAAGGCTATATTATGCATTAATATATTCTAGGATGGAGACAAAGGAGCCCGAGTCTTCAAAATTGCATGCATTAAAAGTAACATACATATTCTTTAGTATTTGATCCATCTTAGTTGTGTGGAGTATGTGAGCAAAATCTGTGTGCTGTGAGTTTGGGGAAAATATCTCCCCCAGAGATGGTAGCCTTAGAGGTCAAAGAAATGTAGCCTGCAGGGTTATGTAATTAAAAAGACAGACTCTTAGTCTGACTCCTTCTCCAGTCCTCAATTCTGACCTAGCTATTCTGATGAGATTAACTGGAGACCTCCTACTCCACCTAGATGGTCTGATTAACTTCTGGGAAACACCCAAATAGACCTGATCTTGTGTGGAGAGTCGACCAGATCTTGGGTAACACCATGGTTACTCCAAAGCTCAAGTCTCTCTTCCATCCCCAACCCCCAAATCACCTGACATCCTGTCTCTATTACTCCAAAATAAAATTCCTCTGTTAACCTCCAAAATAAGAAAAGTGGCTGAGTAGCTTCACCTGATAGGTCCCTTTTGCCTCTTGCTCAAAAGCCATGTAAGAGATATGTATAAAGCTCTGTGTGTGTATGTTTATATACACATATGTATGTTGTGTGTATCTTTGTAGTGCAGAGTTGTTAGCCATCTGACAACTGCCCATCAACTGATGCTAATTAAATTTTTTATCTTCTGGCTTTACCTGTTGGTTTATTTGCCTCCAATCAAAAAGGACCTGTTGTTTTTCAATTCGTGTACTAAAATTAATATAATTTAATATAGTTTAATAAATGGCTGCTTAGCCATAGTGAATGATCATCATCGTCATCTTAGTACTTTAAAATTTTATAGTGAACTTCTTCTGAAGAATAAAAAAAGATAATTTCTTTTGCTTTACTGCCTGTATAGTCCTTGGGAAAGAGACAAGAAAATTCTTAGTATTTATTGTCTTTGCTGGCTTATTTTTTCATTATCATTGACCTTTATTCTCACTTGTAGCCCTTCAAATCCTTGGCCAGGTTTGATTGTTTTTAGCCATGAGTGAGTATTTAAGTTTGTGGCTCAGCATTCATGTGGTATGATTTGACAGTGACCAGGGAGCCACTATAGTATAATCTCTGAAAAATAACCATTTGGTGTTTTGTGTTTGACTTTCTTCCATACTGAGTTTATTTTTATGGAATCAACTACAAAAATGCGGCTTTTTAGATAAATTGATTATATTACAGGGTTCACTGAATAAGTGAGGTAAAGAAAAATATTTTAAAAGTCATGCATTAGTAACAAAACTTCTTAATGGCCTTTAATTTTTTTTTCTTGTGATATGGAGTAACTAGTAAATGCAAAGTAAAAGTTTAAAACTTTAGTCAGTACCTTCCCACCTTTTTGGGGAGGAGGTGTTTTGAGCATGTATGTTAGTCATAGGTTATGAGTTTTTGGGATTAAGTATTCTGTGAGGCTGCAAAGCATGTTATTAATGGTTAATAACATTTCCATCCTTTCTAAAGTTGGAGATATTCTTGCCCAGGAAAAGAAAGCATGGAGCAAACAACCCTTGCAATAAAAGAGACAAGAAAAGAAAGTCGCTACTTTTTATGTTTGTTGTCTGATAGTGGACAGATCTTTTAAAGAATTGATTCTCTTTCTTAGAGTTATTAATTTGGTTTGGGTAGATTATAGAGAAAGTATCATAAACTAAGAAATAGTTCAAGCATATTCTCTGTTCCTAAAAAAAAACTTTAGGAAAAGAAAAAATGAAACATAAAATAGAAGTTCTCTTTTTAGGTACTTTATCATTTCTATAACACTATAGTTTATAATGCGAATATGACGCACAAATGTTATTTTTCTAGTCATTTCATGTCTACTGATATCTTTTGGAAGGGATCCAGACCTGTAATTTCATTGGTGTAGGCAACTCCCAGTGTGGGAACCCTTTTTGCTGATTCAGGTCAGCAGCTTGTCTGGAATATAGTTTTAGAGAGTGTGGTGTAGGTAGTACAGACTAGGAACCAAATCCTGCTTCTGCCATTTATTAGCTGTGTGATCGTGGACAAGTTGCCTTGCTTTTCTGGGCCTGTTTCCTCATCTGCAGAATGAAGGAGTTAAACTAGAGGGCCTCTGAGGTCCCTTCCAGCTCAGTCTATAATCCTAAATTACCTGGGGCACTGAAAGACCTAGTGACTTTCTCTTGTTTACCTACTAGGTGTCAGAGGGAGGACTTCAACTCATGACTTTTGACTCCAAGGCAAGTGCTCTATCCATTAAACTGTAATACTTCTCAGTATCTTATGATAAAGACTTAAAGCCCTTCTCAAATCATTTTCACCTTATTGTTTGTGAGGGTGCTACTAGCCTCATGTTCTATGGATAAGGAATCAGAGTCACAGAGGAGTTATTTACCTAAGGGCATTGAGGCTCATAATCAGGACTAGAAACTGTGTTATTTCCTTCCATGCTAGATTGCACATTCCTTGACATCCTTCTTTTCCTTTGAAAGACATAGCATAGTCCAGGGGACAAAATTCTGTGAACAGGTATTTATATGAAAATGAAATTAAGTTTTTCTAGCCAGATCATATGATCATGGAGTTAGAACTAGAAGGTTTTGGTAAGGTTTTATTCTGATGGGTTAGACTGTTCATCTAAGAGAATGGACAGTTCTAATAAAGTATGTAGGGCCATGCAAGGAAATGGTCTCAGCAAAAGCTGTTGTCCGTAGAATTTTACACTATAAAAACTTTCTGTTTGTGAAAGTTTGCTTAACTTTACCCATTCACAACTAATACTGCAGGAGCTTTTAATTTCTTTAGTAATAAAAAAGTCTTAACTAAAAGAAAACATTAGTACAAAGTTTTGCCCTTTAAAAATCTTCTTTAAAAGAAATATAGGTGGTAAAACAAAGGTTCTTTCAA